TAAATTGAATAAACGGTTATTTATCATTTTTTTTATGGAGAGATAGATATTTGTATCAATTTTTAAACGCGATAATACTGTTTTTAAAAGACCACCAATATAAGATGTATTTGCAAAAAAAAAAAAAAAATACGTGAAAAAAATACGTGAAAATTCCCAACTATAATCGAACAATAAATTTAGCATGTGTCTGGCTGAAATGCTTTATCTACTGAAATTATATATGTAAAAGCGCACGCAGCAAGTGGAAATATGCGAAATAGTCAGACATAGAAAATCAGTGATTGTGTATTATTTCCATTTATTACTATTAAAAATATAACTAATATTATATTAATAATTTATTATTATTATTATTTTTTTTACTATTTTTATTATTATATTTTTTTATTACATTTAGAGAAAAATTTGTTTTAAACAACCAAATAAATACATATTGCTATACAGTTAAACAAACGTTTGGTTAATTCAATTAAATCAATTGAATAATTTTATTTGAATGAACCAAATTTTTAATTCAATTAACTAAACTTTTTAATTGTGACAAACAAAATGGGTTATTTTAAATATTTGGTTAAGTCAAATTAACTTTTTCTCTGAGTGTACAATTATTAGTACTAAAAGGAAAAATTAAAATGGTTTTAAAAATGTTATTCTTTAGAATTTTTTTTTTTTTTTTTTTTTGGTTTATTACTCCAACACAGTTTATATATTATAATATGTATACTGCAAAACGAAATCGTTTTTATTCAAAAATTGGAAAAAAAATTGGAATGCTTTCCCGGAAAAATAAATAATTCCGTTTTTTTTTTATTCTGCCTGTGTACATATATTATAAGAGAAAAAAAAGAAGCATTTAGTCCTCTCTCGCTATATAGAGGTTATGCGCCAATACTAATCCATTAAAAGCATCGAATGACCATTCACTCTACAACGTCTGTTTTCATTCGATTTCCTGACGCTCATATCCGTTCGTTTTTCTCGTGCCTCGCTTCCGTTTTATCACCGGGAAACATTAAATTACCCCGCACAGTAACTCGACATAGTTCGTGTGCTATTTTTCTAAGAGAAAAAAGAAAAAGACAAAGAGAGAGAAAGAGAGGGAGAGGGTTACTATACACACAGTGAAGTTATAAATTTTTTCGTACAAGAATTTTGCTCGAAACGCAGGAAATGAAATCGTACAATTTCAAGAGAAACGAGAAGCTTTTTCCCTCGGTGAAAAATCGGGACGTTACAAAACTGCGGCACAAAACTTCTCTCTCTCTCTCTCTCTCTCTTTCTCTCTTTTGCATTGGGTTTTCCAAGAGAAAATTCACGAACCCATCGCGCGCTTCGAAATTTGCACAAGGCTTTCAATGTATTTTTATATGAAATATGCATTTCCAGCTTGAAAAGTGTAGAGAGACATTTTCAGATCAGAAAATTGTGTAGAGGATGAGAAAAGAAATTTTGTCCCATAGGTAATAGAATTTTATGTATGGATGGGGAGAGAATAAGAAGAAGGGGGGGGGGTATCATTGAAAAATCATTGACATTTTTATTTCCTAAAATCATATATATATTTTTCTATTTCAATTTCAACTTTCTATAAAAAAAATTTATTTGACTCCAAATAATCGGTTACTTTACTATTTATCAAGTAAATATTTATTTGTAGAAAATAATTATTATTTGCGGTATTTATTTTAAATACAGTAATTATGGGGCTGTTTATATACCACGTGGATCCTTTAAGGGTGAAAGGGAGGGGGTCAATAATCAGTAAAAAATTATCCACGTGGTATATGAACGGCCCCCTATTGATATACGGAAGGAAATAAATATCAAATTTTATAAAATTTAAAGTAGTGGAAAATATTATTATTATTATTATTATTAGTCAAAATTAATATTTATTTGATAATAGCCAAGTAAGTGATTATTTAAACTATAAATAATTTTTTTTTCAGTTTATGATCGAGGATTCATTATTGTGATAAGCAAATATTAAACTTTTGTCAACGAAATAACTTTTCTGAAATTCAATCTCAGAAAAGTTTTTTTTGGTTTCGTTTCACGTGCTTATCTATTTCTTTTTATTTTTTCTTATATTGCCGACTGTGGACACTTATGGGATTCCCCACCGTGCGGGAATGCATAACGCTCCGGTAAAGTGCCGGAATTCAGAACGAAAGACAAATGGCGCTTACCGTTGACGTATATGCAATATATATACGAGAGAAGCGCAGGGGGGTAGTAGATTCGGAGTGTGCGGGAATCCACTCAAGTTTACGAGAAATTGCTTGTCAGCCAAGAATGTCATGCAAATTGAATTTTTTTTTTTTTTTTTTTTTTTGAATATTGTCAAATGTATATTTTCATAAAAATTGAAAGATAATTTAAAGTATTTTACTTATATAAGTACTTACTTACTTACTAACTCACTAACTTACTAACTTAATACTTAATTATACTTATTACTTACATATACTTATTTATTGAAAAATTTTCTATTTCAAATAATATTCAAAGCGAAAACTTCGAAAAGAAAACTATTTCTCCAAAACAAAAAGTAGCTCAGTGGTAAAGAGCACCCCATTGTCAGAACAACGACATGAGTTCGAATCCCATCAGATTAATTTTTTTTCAAACACTCGAAATGAAAGAGAAAAGTTTATAAATAAAATATTAATAGAACAGTATATAATAATATAATCAAAATATTATAATAATAATATTAATTAAAAAAATTAAATTTCGATTTTCAAATAATTGGAAAAAAAATTTTTTTCTTAAGTAAGATGAAGAGAGAATGAGAGAGAGAGAGCGATGATAGAAAGAGATAACGAACGAGAAAAGCTTTGAGCTTACATTTCTAGAATGAATATTAACGTTGCTGAGGTATAGTGCAGTATGAATTTTGTGTGCAGTGCCATGTGCGCAGTGACACACGTGGCAGTAGTGTAGCAGCTTTCATTTGAAATGCATGAGCTTCACGAGAGATTCCCATGTATTTCATGAAAGCACACAGTCGTCAACCCCCTCCGAAACTGAAACTTGGGACAAGAGGTGAAGGGGGGAGTGGCAATGTTGAGTTTCTCTCATTTCATAGGCGCCTGTAAAGGAGCAAAACGTTTTACACCCTTTTACCATTTTTTTTTTTTTTGCTCCCTTCATGTAGCATATTCTATACATATAAATATATATTTCGAACGATTGATTTTTTTCTCCTCGCACATTCTATTTACATTATTTTTTGGTTATGGTTGACATATGTTTATTGTATCATTACTATTATTTTATTATTATTATTTGTATTAATAATAATATTCATACACAAAAGTTGTTATTACATAATTTAAAATAAAAAAATAATAAAAATAAAGGTCTGACAGACCGTGAAAAGCGTTAAACGCGTAATTTTTTTCTCACCTAGCAGTTTATAGGTAAAAACTATCATAAACATAACCTATAATTTTTTGCTAATTATCGATATATATATATATATATAAAATTTTGAATTAATTAGATATTAGTTTCTTTTTTAATAATTTTGAAAATGAAATTTTCATTCGCATTATCCAACGCGTGAACTATGTCAACAAATACTCTAAAATTGAGTTTGGAGTTTGATGTTGAACGGTCGAGCGAACGTGATATTGAATTCCGACCAATCGTAACAACCAAGTCCACTAATTGCTCATTGTCGCATTTACCGGATCACGAGATTTCAGGTTTCTAGCATCGTTCAAAATCTGTCTCTGACAGCAATAATGACGGCGTTTCCGGTTTCCGAATGTACAAACAAATACACACACACATATATATATATATATATATATATATATATATATATATATATATATATATATATATATATACATACAAGCACCGAAAGAGAAATTCCCCACGTATAACAATTCAACTGCTGCAGATTTTATATCTTCAAATTCCGTGCACGCTTATACCCTTATGGTTGGAAAAAAAGTCCGCACAGCATTTAAAGACCGTAATTATCGCCTTTGATTTAAGAACGCGAAATTTTTTTGGATTAAAATTTTTTTAAGACAATTTTTGTAAAGGTAAAATTTTTAAAGAGATAGAAGCGTCTTTAAAGAAAAATTATTAACAAAAAAAAAATTGACTAAAAATTAGTAAAACTGTCCACTAATTTTTATTAAAATATTACTAGTTGACTTAGTAATATTTTTTTACCAAAATTTTAGAGAAAAATAACTAAAAATTAGTAGAAATTTTTGCTAATTTAAATTTAGAGAGCAGTAAAATGGAAAAAAAAATTTTACCTTTTTTATAAAATGAAATTTAAAAAAAATATATAAAATAAAATTTCATTTATATATATATATATATATATATATATATAATGAATTAGTCGAAAGAGTGAAATTATAGTTTAATAAGGGGCTAATAAGAGAGTAAGGTGGGCAGTAAAAATTTTACTTTGCCACTGAAGGATAATTACAAAAGTCGCAGTTGCCGGTTTGTAAGTCACGTAATTAGACTCCTTTTTCTCAAAGGAGTCAACTCACCCATTCGTCGTCGGAGGCGAATCTCTCGATGCCGTGCACTCATGTCTTTGCCTCTAGATCTACAGCAAAAGAAGTAGAGACGACTTTTAGAAGCCAGATTTAATCAGAAATTTTCTCCTGGTTAACGAAAAAAAAATTCTCTTCTACTTTTATTAAATTTATCTCTTTTTTTTTCTCTCTCTCTCTCTCACTCAAAATTTAATAACTTAAAAAAAGAAATTAAAATTTGCAATTTTTTACTATGTTAAAAAATTGCAGATAAAATATTTGTCTTTTGTTAAAACCTTTTTTTGCATTAATAATAATAATAATAATAATTATTATTATTATTATTATTATTATTATTAATTAATAAACAATTAATTATTGTTATTAGTTTGATATAATTTTCATTGTTCTGAATTTTAACGGTGCGAATATAATTTTTTTTTACTTTTTTCTAATTGGGTGTTTTAATTTTTGTTGCAGCATCCCAATCAGGATCAGTTATTGGCCGCGATCCACTTCCATCGAGAGCTGTAAGCACATCTCAATTACCACAGAAAAGTCTAACTCAGTCACCGCCAACCCACGTGTCAACACTTCCGCTTCTGCGAAACAGTGGTAGCAGCCATCGTCAGCAACCACTTCCGGTTCATCAATCGACACTACAATCGACGAAACAATCAGAGCATGGAAGTCTAATTAACTCGCAGATTTTAAAAGCCGCCAGTAGCGGTGACGTACGACTCAATTCAACGTTGTAAGTTGAATTTTTTTTTTTTTTCTTCTTTATTTTTAACAAATTTTTAAAATAGAGATAATTACAAAAAAAGGGTAATCTCTCTTCTATTTTGAATTAACTTTTTTTTTGGTAATTTTTCAGTAGATGAAAGATTTCGTTGAATTAAAAGTTTCTATTTTTTTTTATTCAATGAGAATTTTTGATATAATATATTATTAATTCATAAGTAATCATGTACTATTAATAGTTTGTCAATTAAGTTCATTCTTCATGAAAAATTGCTCTAATTTATGCGGACAAAAAAAAAACTCTGATTCAATTTGACAGAAATAAAATTAACTTATTTTCAAAATTCATTCTTACATGAAAATTAAATTAAATTTTAAAAATATCATCTCTCTAGTTAATGAAAAACTGTCATTACAGTTTCATTATTGTTGAATAACATATATACATGCATATGATTCTTATAATAAAAAGAGATAAAATTATCATCATCGTGAGATAATATTTAAAAGATTACTTTACTTTTTGAGTGATTAAATAAAATTTTTAATAATAAACCATCCGGATATAAAAATAATTCTTCTTCTGTGAGAATAATAAAATTAGAGATTACAAATTGCAATTTTGCGAGTTGGTAAAGTTAAAAATACTTTCCTGTGTCGAAAAAAATTTAATTAATTCAAATATAATCCGTTACTTGACTATTATCAAATAAATATTTATTTTATTAAATAATTTCATCAATTAATTATTTTGGTCTATTAAATGGTATTTGTTTCAAATACAGAAATTATTGATTTAAATACAGTTTATTAGATTCAAATATAAATGTTTTGATGCAAATAAATATTTTATTTGATAATAGTCAAGTAATCGATTATTTGAATCAAATAAGTAATTTGATTTAATTAATACCCAAAATAAAAATAAAAAAAAAATACACACAAATGTTTTGGAAGAAAGATCAAATTTTCTAAATCCGAAAAAAAAAATATCTTTTTTGCAATTATTTTTAATAATTTTAATTCGAATTTCCTTTTATTTCTATATTTTTGCTATTTTCCACGCGACAAATTTTGCTGACATGAAAGGTTTTATCTACTTATTGTTTATATGGAGAAGGTAAAATGGTAGGAAAATGTACGCTTTGGTGGGAAAATTGCAGTGTCGACTTAGCATTTCAGAAATATTCACTTACTGCTAAAATCAATATACTATATGGGGCATTTCATCTGAGATTTACATGGAAATGGTTTTTTTAAATTTTTTTTTCGAAATTTTTATGAAAAAAAAAATACGTATTTTTAATTTTTTTATTTGATAATAATTATGGAAGTAACGGGTTTTTTTTTAATTTTTATTCCTGAAGTTCTAAACGTTGAAAATAAAAATAATAATAAAAATACGTATTTTTTTATTTTTCATAAAGATTTCGAAAAAATATATCCTAATCAAATAAAAAAAAAAAAAAATTTGTAATGAAAATCTAACATGGAATGCCCCACTATATATATATAATATGTATATATACACATCATCACGGATAAAAATTCTTTGTGCGGATTTTTTTCAACTTTATATAAAAAGAAGAAACGCACCGCTAAATTCTTACTTTGATTCGAAATAATGACTCTCGTTCATTGGTTTTTTGCCACCATTAGCCTGGAAATCCTCTTATATTCAAAAGCACAGAGACTATACATATATACTCAAATCGTTGGAAATTACAAATGTTCATGTATACGTTCTCTGCTTTTTTAGAGATTAAATTATTTTCAAAAATTATCAATTGAGAAATTAAAAATAATACTGAAAAATTAGAAATATTTGAAAAAAAAATTATAAAATAACATAAAATTAAATAAAATTCTATTTTAAAAAAATTATGTTATTTTAATAAAATAACAATTCTAGAAGAATTTTTTAATATCTTTATTATTTTTCTTGGACCGGCCTTTTCTTATATATGGGCTTTAAAAAAGAAATTGCGGATAATTTCAACACTAATTGCAGTCGTTATTCGCCACTTCTTTTAAATTATATTTCTTATTCCATTGTTTAACTTTCATTTACTTTATTTGCCCACTGTCAATATTATTTTGTCCCTCGTAATATTTCTTGTGGTTTTGTAAAGCCGCAAGGCTAAAATCATAACCATTGGTTCTTAATTTCGTCTATATATATATATATTTACTGCGAATCGATTTTTTTTTTTTTTTTTTTTGGCTAAAAATTGCTTCGAGGTATTTTATTCTTTCTTTTACTCGAGATTTACCTAGTTAATACATAAAGATTTATGCATTTTATAAATGTAGAATTGAAGAAAAGTAACCTAAGTAGCAAAAAAAAAAAAAATTATAGGTTATGTTTATAATAGTTTTAAACTTAAAGTTGCTTTTCAATTATTATCCTTGAAACAAAAATTCGTTTTTTAAAATAATTTATTAATTGAATTATTTAATAATTTATTTTTATTTTTTGTATTAAAAATATTTAAATCTCAATCATTTAGAATTGATCCTCTTTGCATTTATTTTCATCAAAAAATTATAGGTTATGTTCATGATAATTTTCTATAAAACCAAAATCAATTTTTTTTATATAATAAAGATACATAAACATCAATAATTGAGAGTTGATCCGTTTATTTTCAGGAAAAAAAAAATAATAGGTTATGTTTATAAAAGCAAAACATAACCTATATTTTTTTTTTTGCTTCTTAGATCTAGCCCTACTTTGGTCCTTTTCTTCACAAGACATTTTCGTTAAAGGCTTTAATTTCAGAATTGTGAATAAAAAAAAAAAATAATTTTATCGAATTTCAGAGAATCGAGAATTTCCTCACCAAGTGGACAATCATCTCAAAGGCTAATGAGTCCAGCATCACATTTAAGAGTGATTTCGCCAATCGATCATCGAGTTTCGAGTCCCAGTGACAGTGAAAGACAATTACACAGTCCAAGTAAGTACTTTTATAATTTATTATTTTTTTTTTTTTAATTTCATTCAATATAAATTGATTTAGTTACTAAATTAATATAATTTAATTTTTAAAATTAGAGTTCCTACATTTTGAAATTTATGTAATGCTCCACATTGAAAGGGATCTTTGCTGCAAATAAAGGACCCCGCACTTTTTACATTGAAAATGGCTTTTAGCCAAATCTTATGAAACTCTGTAGTTTTGTAGTTTAAGGCCTCCTGAACAAAAAATCCTTATGTTAAAATTCAATCCTATGAGTAGTTTTTTAGCTACAGCACTTTAAAGTTAAAAAACAATAACGTATAAAAATAATGTATTTATATGAATGTTTTCTTTTTCACAAATGAATCAAAATCTGTTAATTGGGGGTTTTCGGGGTCGCTGAGTACGAATCTGTGCTCAGAATTTCGGAATTCAAAATGGCGGATCCAATATGTCGGACGCGCTTTCGAAAAATCACTTGAATTCACTTCAAAATCATTACTCGGGGGTTTTTGGGGTCGCTGAGTACGACAGGAAGAAAGAATTGAAGTAATAAACGAATAAAAAATTGTCAAACCTAATCTAACACAATAGGGAAGGGCGTCCGCCATTTTGAATTCCGAAATTCTGAGCACAGATTCGTACTCAGCGACCCCGAAAACCCCCGATTAACAGATTTTGATTCATTAGTGAAAAAGAAAACATTCATAAATGCATTATTTTTACGTTATTATTTTTTTAACTTTAAAGTGCTGTAGCTAAAAAACTACTCATAGGATTGAATTTTAACATAAGGATTTTTTGTTCAGGAGGCCTTAAACTACAAAACTACAGAGTTTCAAAAGATTTGGCTGAAAGCCATTTTCAAAATGTAAAAAGTGCGGGGTCCTTTTTGGTTATGTTTAATGATTGAATGTTTATTTTTAATTATATGTAAAATTAATTTTTATTGAATATTTTGGATCTAATGAAAACTGAAACGTTTGTATTAAGAATTATAATCAATTTTTTTTGGTAACAGTCTAAGAAAAGCACAAACATAACCTAAAAATTTCTTTGTAGTTAAAGTCCCTTTCAATGTGAAGTATAACATATTTGAATTTCTCTATAGGAACGAATTTCCCAAAAGATAAAAATAAAAATTACATTACCAAGTGCTGCAAAAAAATAGGTCAAAACTATTTTTAAAAAGAATTTATATATAGAGAGGAGATTAATTAATGGAATTTTCGAAATATAATTAATAAAGCAGTTTTGAGAGCAAACTTTGACATAAATATATATATATATAGGATCAAGGATATTCATATACATATATATATATATATAAACACATACGTCAAATTACAAACGAAAGGACAATGTCCTTGACAAGTTGGCATCTGCATTTTGATTATCTCTATAGCTTTCATTTTCTAAGAGCTGCGAGGATATATGCTTCAAAGTTTGAAATTTAGAGATTGCCTTCGGCGTTTAGTCGAACTCGAAAATTAATTCGAGAGCATGCCGAGGAAGGCGTTAATATCTCGAGTTCAAACATCAAGTCCCGAAACGTTTGAATAACCACCTGCCTGGAACTAAATCTAAACTTGTAAAGTCTTCGAAGACCATAAATTGAATCTCAGCTGAGGTTGAGGGTTAATTATTCAAACTTGGGCCAATATATACTCCAAAGATTGTACTCATCCCCCAAAAAAATTTATTATTATTACTAATTTTTGTCTTATAGAAAATTAATTTTTTTCCAAAATGGCGTTTTTTTGGAATTTTTAAAACAGTTTTTGCAGTATAGAAAAATTATTAATTATTAAAAATAAAAAGAACTCACCGATATTGATGATAGGTCCTTTACAGCTCCGTGGTCCAGATCCAGATCCTTTTCTTTCTTGAGGCCCTAAAGCAACTTTAAGGATAAATCTTAATACCAGCAAATATATAGCTTATCTTCAGATTTACCATTAAAGAGGCAGCCAGGGAGTTTGTAAATAGCAAAACAAAACATGCCGCAAACTTTTTGAAATTTATTTTATTGGTCAGAATAAGCACACTTTTTTAACACTCACCAAAAAAATAAGCATTATAAAAAAATTATTTTATACAATTTAAAATAAAAATCCTTTTTTATTAGATTTCAATATAACGATAAAATTTCATTGTAGGCAGAGAATAATTTTAATTTACTTTATTAAAACAGACAATAATTATTTATATAAACCCAAATTGTAGATGGTTAAAAAATTAATAGGATGGTAAAAAATTTTTAAAAATGAAAACAAAAAGTTACCGATCTAGAAATCTATCTTACCGACTGATGGAAAAGAATTTTTTTTTGAAAAATGTAGATATATAGTTTACCGACGCAGAAATCTATCTTACCGACTGATGGTAAAGAATTTTTTTTTTGGAAATTCAAATATAAAAAATTACCGACACGTAAATCTTCTTTACCGGCAGATGGTAATTACCATCGGTCGGTAAGGTAGATTTCTATGCAAGTAATTTTTTATATTTTCATTTGAAAGAAAAGTTCTTTTTTATCAGTCGGCAAGGTAGATTTGTATATCGGTAATTTTTTACATTTTCATTTTTCTAAAAACTATTTACCATCAGTCGGTAAGGTAGATTTTTGTGTTGGTATTTTTTTTATATTTTCAACATCGTTATTTGATTATTTTTCCACATTACTTTTGAATTTTTTTTATTAAAATTACCGTGTGAGTGTAAGTGTACTTATACGTAGACTAAAAAAATAAAATTCGAAAAGAATGTGCAGTTAGGTATGCGTAACCCTCGTCTTATCCCACTAGCGGGTCGATGGCTAAATAGCCATCAGTGCAAAGATCCACAAGGAAATATGAAACCGTGTTGTCAAATGCGTGATTCATTATATTTCTCAAATCAATCCAGTGATTAGTAGGTGACAAATTATATGATCATTGCATGTGACAATCAGGGCTAAATATTGTCAAGTAAAACTTTACAGATGAGATGAATATTTTTCATAATTTTTTTTTTATTTATGAAAAATGATTCAACGTTCAATAAGACGTTTTCGAAAGTCCCTGGCATAATGATTTCGACTTAGCCCTCCCACCCCCCCCTCTTCCCCAATTTAAAATAAACTTTGAATATTCGCGAAAAAAGACGAACGCGATTTTAAATTGTAATTCGGACGCGCGCGTTACGAGTTGTCTTGTATGTAACGAAAGACAAACAACGAAAATGAATTTTAAACATCCTAAGAAAATTTTATTCGGAATTTTGTAAAAATTGTAGAATTAACACTCCCGAAGCTAATAATTTTTAAATCCGACACGACATGCACAGCGAGCATAAGAAAAAAGTAAATATTATATATATTAAACGACCGTCACTTTCACTAAGTTCGAACACTCCCGTATAATGTAAAATTGCAAAAAATTTAATGAATTTAAAAAAAATCCGCACTGTTTATCTGAAACATTACATAAATTCAATTAGTAATTAAATTTGTAATTAATTTAATTAATTAAATATTAAATAATTATTTTTTGCTTCCTCGTGGAGGAAGCTTTGTAGTCCTTTCGTTTATAAAAATTTTCAAAGTGGCGGAAACAAATTTTTTTCTTTATAGAAACCTGTTATATGAGATCCTGATCAATTGTCCGGATGTATGTATGTGTGTGTGTGTGGATCCCTTTTTTGTTTAGAAGATAACTTTAACAGGTTTTAATGGATTTAGATAAAATTTCGTAGGCTCATTTATCATATTAATATCTCAAATCTGACCAAAGGATTTTTAAAAAAACCTCAAAAAAAAATTTTTATCGTCTTTTTTCCAAAAATTTTTTTTGGCGGTATTCCCGAACGATTATCTCGCGAATTTAATTTTTTGAAAATTTTTCCAAAATATTTTTGAGTGTAGCTCATCATCAACTAGACCAATCAAAAAGTGCGCTATACATTTTTTGTTCGAGACTCCCGGGTTAAGACTTTGGCGGTATTTCCGATTAATTATCTCGCAAATTTAAATTTTCAAAATTTTTTAAAAAATTTATCTGAGTGTAGCTCAGCATCCGCTGGACCAATCAAAAAGTGCCCCATACATTTTTTGTTCGCTACTTTTTGCTAAAGACAGTTATGGCATTCCGGAGCGATTATCTCAAAATTTTAATTTTTCAAAATTTTTTCCGAAATTGATTTGAGTATAGCTCAGCATCCGCTGGACCAATCAAAAAGTGCGCTATATATTTTTTGTTCCATACTTTTTTCTAAAGACTTTGGTGATATTCCGAAAGGGATATCTCTCAAATTTAATTTTTCGTAATTTTTTTCAAATTTGTTTTCTACTGTAGCTCAGCATCCGCTGGACCAATCAAAAAGTACGCCATACATTTTTTGTTCGAAACTTTTTCCCTATTTTATTCGTGGTATTCCCGAACGATTATCTCGCGAATTTAATTTTTTGTAATTTTTTCCAAATTTGTTTTTTACTGTAGCTCAGCATCCGCTGGACCAATCAAAAAGTGTGCCATACATTATGTGTTCAGAACTTTCTTCTAACTACTTTGGGGATATTCCCGACCGATAATCTCGCAAATTTAATTTTTTGTAATTTTTTCCAAATTTGTTTTTTACTGTAGCTCAGCATCCGCTGGACCAATCAAAAAGTGCCCCAAACATTTTTTGTTCGCTACTTTTTGCTAAAGACAGTTATGGCATTCCGGAACGATTATCTCAAAAATTTAATTTTTCAAAATTTTTTCCGAAATTGATTTGAGTATAGCTCAGCATCCGCTGGACCAATCAAAAAGTGCGCTATATATTTTTTGTTCCATACTTTTTTCTAAAGACTTTGGTGATATTCCGAAAGGGAAATCTCTCAGATTTAATTTTTCGTAATTTTTTCCAAATTTGTTTTTTACTGTAGCTCAGCATCCACTGGACCAATCAAAAAGTGCGCCATACATTTTTTGTTCGAGACTCCCGGGTTAAGACTTTGGCGGTATTCCCGATTAATTATCTCGCAAATTCAATTTTTCAAAATTTTTTAAAAAATTTATCTGAGTGTAGCTCAGCATCCGCTGGACCAATCAAAAAGTGCGCCATACATTTTTTGTTCGAAGCTTTTTCCCTATTTTATTGGCGGTATTCCCGAGTCATTATCTGGCAAATTTTTCTTTTCGAAAATTTTTCCCCAGTTTTAGTGAGTGTAGCTCAGCATCCGCTGGACCAATCAAAAAGTGTGCCATACATTTTTTGTTCGAGACTTTTTGCTCAATTTTTTGGCATTATTCCCGAGTCAATATGTGGCAAATTTTTTTTTTCGAAAATTTTTCCTTAGTTTTAGTGAGTGTAGCTCAGCATCCGCTGGACCAATCAAAAAGTGCGCCATACATTTTTTGTTCGAGACTCCCGGGTTAAGACTTTGGCAGTATTCCCGATTAATTATCTCGCAAATTTAATTTTTCAAAATTTTTTAAAAAATTTATCTTAGTGTAGCTCAGCATCCGCTGGACCAATCAAAAAGTGCGCCATACATTTTTTGTTCGAGACTCCCGGGTTAAGACTTTGGCGGTATTCCCGACCAATTATCTCCCAAATTTAATTTTTTAAAATTTTTTTAAAAATTTATCTGAGTGTATCTCAGCATCCGCTGGACCAATCAAAAAGTGCGCCATACATTTTTTGTTCGAGACTCCCGGGTTAAGACTTTGGCGGTATTCCCGATTAATTATCTCGCAAATTCAATTTTTTGTAATTTTTTCCAAATTTGTTTTTTACTGTAGCTCAGCATCCACTGGACCAATCAAAAAGTGCGCCATACATTTTTTGTTCGAGACTCCCGGGTTAAGACTTTGGCGGTATTCCCGATTAATTATCTCGCAAATTCAATTTTTCAAAATTTTTTAAAAAATTTATCTGAGTGTAGCTCAGCATCCGCTGGACCAATCAAAAAGTGCGCCATACATTTTTTGTTCGAAGCTTTTTCCCTATTTTATTGGCGGTATTCCCGAGTCATTATCTGGCAAATTTTTCTTTTCGAAAATTTTTCCCCAGTTTTAGTGAGTGTAGCTCAGCATCCGCTGGACCAATCAAAAAGTGTGCCATACATTTTTTGTTCGAGACTTTTTGCTCAATTTTTTGGCATTATTCCCGAGTCAATATGTGGCAAATTTTTTTTTTCGAAAATTTTTCCTTAGTTTTAGTGAGTGTAGCTCAGCATCCGCTGGACCAATCAAAAAGTGCGCCATACATTTTTTGTTCGAGACTCCCGGGTTAAGACTTTGGCAGTATTCCCGATTAATTATCTCGCAAATTTAATTTTTCAAAATTTTTTAAAAAATTTATCTTAGTGTAGCTCAGCATCCGCTGGACCAATCAAAAAGTGCGCCATACATTTTTTGTTCGAGACTCCCGGGTTAAGACTTTGGCGGTATTCCCGACCAATTATCTCCCAAATTTAATTTTTTAAAATTTTTTTAAAAATTTATCTGAGTGTATCTCAGCATCCGCTGGACCAATCAAAAAGTGCGCCATACATTTTTTGTTCGAGACTCCCGGGTTAAGACTTTGGCGGTATTCCCGACCAATTATCTCCCAAATTTAATTTTTTAAAATTTTTTAAAAAATTTATCTTAGTGTAGCTCAGCATCCGCTGGACCAATCAAAAAGTGCGCCATACATTTTTTGTTCGAGACTCCCGGGTTAAGACTTTGGCGGTATTCCCGATTAATTATTTCGCAAATTAAATTTTTCAAAATTTTTTAAAAAATTTATCTCAGTGTAGCTCAGCATCCACTGGACCAATCAAAAAGTGCGCCATACATTTTTTGTTCGAGACTCCCGGATTAAGACTTTGGCGGTATTCCCGATTAATTATCTCGCAAATTTAATTTTTCAAAATTTTTTAAAAAATTTATCTGAGTGTAGCTCAGCATCCGCTGGACCAATCAAAAAGTGTGCCATACATTATTTGTTCAGAACTTTCTTCTAACTACTTTGGGGATATTCCCGACCGATAATCTCGCAAATTTAATTTTTTGTAATTTTTTCCAAATTTGTTTTTTACTGTAGCTCAGCATCCGCTGGACCAATCAAAAAGTGAGCCATACATTTTTTGTTCGAGACTCCCGGGTTAAGACTTTGGCGGTATTCCCGACCAATTATCTCCCAAATTTAATTTTTTAAAATTTTTTAAAAAATTTATCTCAGTGTAGCTCAGCATCCGCTGGACCAATCAAAAAGTGCGCCATACATTTTTTGTTCGAGACTCCCGGGTTAAGACTTTGGCGGTATTCCCGATTAATTATTTCGCAAATTAAATTTTTCAAAATTTTTTAAAAAATTTATCTCAGTGTAGCTCAGCATCCACTGGACCAATCAAAAAGTGCGCCATACATTTTTTGTTCGAGACTCCCGGGTTAAGACTTTGGCGGTATTCCCGATTAATTATCTCGCAAATTTAATTTTTCAAAATTTTTTAAAAAATTTATCTGAGTGTAGCTCAGCATCCGCTGGACCAATCAAAAAGTGCGTCATACATTTTTTGTTCGAAACTTTTTCCCTATTTTATTCGTGGTATTCCCGAACGATTATCTCGCGAATTTAATTTTTTGTAATTTTTTCCAAATTTGTTTTTTACTGTAGCTCAGCATCCGCTGGACCAATCAAAAAGTGTGCCATACATTATTTGTTCAGAACTTTCTTCTAACTACTTTGGGGATATTCCCGACCGATAATCTCGCAAATTTAATTTTTTGTAATTTTTTCCAAATTTGTTTTTTACTGTAGCTCAGCATCCGCTGGACCAATCAATAAGTGCGCCATACATTTTTTGTTCGAGACTCCCGGGTTAAGACTTTGGCGGTATTCCCGATAAATTATCTCGCAAATTTAATTTTTCAAAATTTTTTAAAAAATTTATCTGAGTGTAGCTCAGCATCCGCTGGACCAATCAAAAAGTGCGCCATACTTTTTTTATACGAGACTCCCGGGTTAAGACTTTGGCGGTATTCCCGATTAATTATCTCGCAAATTTTTTTTCAAAATTTTTTAAAAAATTTATCTGAGTGTAGCTCAGCATCCGCTGGACCAATCAAAAAGTGCGCCATACTTTTTTTATACGAGACTCCCGGGTTAAGACTTTGGCGGTATTCTCGATTAATTATCTCGAAAATTGAATTTTTCAAAATTTTTTAAAAAATTTATCTCAGTATAGCTCAGCATCCACTGGACCAATCAAAAAGTGCGCCATACATTTTTTGTTCGAGACTCCCGGGTTAAGACTTTGGCGGTATTCCCGATTAATTATCTCGCAAATTTAATTTTTCAAAATTTTTTAAAAAATTTATCTGAGTGTAGCTCAGCATCCGCTGGACCAATCAAAAAGTGCTCCATACTTTTTTTATACGAGACTCCCGGGTTAAGACTTTGGCGGTATTCCCGATTAATTATCTCGCAAATTTAATTTTTCAAAATTTTTTAAAAAATTTATCTGAGTGTAGCTCAGCATCCGCTGGACCAATCAAACAGTGCGCCATACATTTTTTGTTCGAGACTCCCGGGTTAAGACTTTGGCGGTATTCCCGATTTATTATCTCCCAAATTTAATTTTTCAAAATCTTTTAAAAAATTTATCTGAGTGTAGCTCAGCATCCGCTGGACCAATCAAAAAGTGCGCCATACATTTTTTGTACGAAGCTTTTTCCCTATTTTATTGGCGGAATTCCCGAGTCATTATCTAGCAAATTTTTCTTTTCGAAAATTTTTCCCCAGTTTTAGTGAGTGTAGCTCAGCATCCGCTGGACCAATCAAAAAGTGCGCCATACATTTTTTGTTCGAGACTCCCGGGTTAAGACTTTGGCGGTATTCCCGACCAATTATCTCCCAAATTTAATTTTTTAAAATTTTTTAAAAAATTTATCTCAGTGTAGCTCAGCATCCGCTGGACCAATCAAAAAGTGCGCCATACATTTTTTGTTCGAGACTTTTTGCTCAATTTTTTGGCATTATTCCCGAGTCATTATATGGCAAATTTTTTTTTTCGAAAATTTTTCCCCAGCTTTAGTGAGTGTAGCTCAGCATCCGCTGGACCAATCAAAAATTGCGCCATACATATGTATGTGTGTGTGTATGTGTGTGTGTGTGTTTGTGGATCCCTTTTTTGTTTAGAAGATAACTTTAACAGGTTTTAATGGATTTAGATAAAATTTGGTAGGCTCATTTATCATATTAATATCTCAAATCTGAACAAAGGATTTTTAAAAATACCTCAAAAAAAAATTTATATCGTCTTTTTTTAAAACATTTTTTTTAATCGAAAAAATTTTTAAATGGAAAAATTTAAGGTTATATATATAATAAAATTGTATTCCTTACATCAAGACGAATCGATCGATATATATAAAGTATACATTTGAGGTAAATTTAAAGAAATAATGAAAGTTAAAAAATCAGAAATTCACATTTTAGCAATAAAACTTTGCTTTCTCCACGAGGAAGCAAATTTTTTTCCTGATCGTAAAGAGGAAGCAAAATGTTCATGTAATGAACATCTGAATTTACAACTTGTTTAATTTGTTTTACCGATGAAACCCCTGAAATATGTTTTATCACAAGTCGGTAAAACAGTTTTAAATTTATGTAAACCGACAAATAAGTTTTATCAATGGAATTAATGCGTAAACATACAAAAAAATTTATGAATTTAAAAAAAAATCTGCACTGTTTACTTGGAACAAAAAATAAATTCAATTAGTAATTAAATTTTTAATTAATTTAATCAATAAAACATTAAATAATTAATTTAAAACTGTTTTACCGATAGGATCCATCAAATCTTTTATCAGCAGTCGGTAAAACAGTTTTAATTTTATGTAAACCATCAAATAAGTTTTGTCAGTGAAATTATTACCTGAAAGAAAAAATAAATTCAATTAGTAATTAAATTTTTAATCAATTAAACACTAAATATTTATTTTGAATCTGTTTTACCGACGTAATCCATGAAATATGTTTTCTCAGCAATTGGTAAAACACTTTTAAATGTATGTAAACTGTCAAATAATTTTTATCGGTGGAATTATTGCGTATTTAATAATTAGTCAACTCTACGTTATTGGAACTCGGTAAAATAGTTTTAATTAGACAAAACTGTTTTATCAGCAGTAGGTAAAACAGTTTTTTTAAACCAAGCATTATCAATTTAATCGGTCTAATCTGTTTTATCAGCCGTCGGTAAAACAATTTTGACTAAGAACTAGTAACTATTTATTAGTTTATTCTGTTCTATCAGCCGTCGGTAAAAAAGTATTTACTACTAAAAAATGAGACAAGTTCGAGTTATACTTTTTGCATTTGTTGCAAAAGAGTGACCACCTGGTATTTTGAAAAAGGTGTAGTGTTTTTTTTTTTTTTGAAAATTCTAGTAATTAGGAAGAAAAAATAATTTCTTTTTCCGTGATTGAAAATTAAAGCCGATTGAGTGTAAAAGTAAAAAAAAAAGAAGACAAATGAAATCACATGTCGTTTTCTGAGCAATTTCTACGGACAAAAATAGAAGGAAAGCTTTACTAGTAATGAATAATTCATTTTGTAGGGAATTGGACTCTGAGCTTATAATGGTTTTAGGCAGTAGTGGTATAGTCTTACGAGGAATGGCCCTCTCTATTGATTTTGTCCATATTACACTCACAAAACATGAGCGGGAAACACGAAATTCCATTTTGCTTACAGTAAACTATGTATGTATATATGTATATGAAACTCCGCAACAATAAGTCATTTCAATCCGCAACAAACATTAACCTTTTGCATACAGATTGCATGAAACAAGTTCGATTCTTCTTTTTTTTACCAAAAAAAAAAAAAATTATGTCTTCAATTATTTCTGCAGCATTAGTAAAAAATTTAATTTTTCAAAATTAATTAATTTCTAAAAATTTTGCGAGTGGTTTTCCTAAAATTTTTATAAAAATAGGAAAATGTCGACAGTTTTTAAAAAGTATTTTTGTCTTGTCTTGTCTTTTTGTCACCCTGGAAAAATCAGCTTAAAACTTCTCAAAATTCATTAAATACAGTGAAAGCCGCGTATATCTACCTTACCGACTGATGGTAAAGATATTTTCTTAAAAATTAAAATATAAAAAATTACCGAAGCAGAAATTTACCTTACCGACTGATGGTTATAACCAATTGTTGGTAAAAGTTTTGAAAAAGGTGATAAAATTTTCTTACCATCAGTCGGTAAGATAAATTTCTGCATCGGTAATTTTTTATATCTTCATTTCAAAAAAAATTTCTTTTCTATCAGTCGGTAAGGCAGATTTCTCTGTCGGTAATTTTTTATATTGTCATTTTTTCAAAAGGCCTGTTTTACCATAATTCGGTAAGGTAGATTTCTGTGACGGTAAATTTTTATATTTTCATTTTTCAAAAAATTTCTTTACCATCAATCGGTAAGGTAGATTTCTGTGTCGGTAATTTTTTGTATTGTCATTTTTTCAAAAGCCTGTTTTACCATCAGTCGGCAAGGCAGATTTCTATGTCGGTAATTGTGATACGTGGGTTTTTAGTGAATCATACAATTTAAATATTTATTAAATAATTATTTATTTAAAATCCTTTTTTAAAAAAAATGATATAAATCAAACACTTTAATCATTAAATTCCGCTTTATTGTTTCGTGACTTTTTGCAAACATTTTTCTATTTTATGTGATTCTGGAACAAAATATATTGTAGCTTATCCGTTTGAGAAAATCTTTACCCTATTATATCAATTATTTCGGCAGTATTAGTAATAAATATATATATATATTCTTTTCCAGTTTAAAATTAAAGCTGATTTAAAAGCCACGAGTAATTTTCCCCCTTTCATGAATAACTTATATATACTTCTCGCAGAGAGGAAGTACATTTGCCTTTCAGAAAAGTTAATGAGCGTACTTAAAGCTCTGCTGCGCTTAAGTTAACGAAAGCAAAGTTTTCTCGTTTCAAGGGGGCAAGGGGAGAAAAAAAGAGATTGAAAACAGCTTTTTTTGAATTGCTTTATCGATAAAAAAAAAAAATAAAAATTGTGTGTTCAAATGTGCCACGCGGATAAAATAATAATTGAAATCATTTTTCAGGCGAAAGAAGCGTGACCAGTCCACTGAGAAGAGAAGTGGATCGAGGTGGAGGCGATTTAAGACAAATTCAGAGAGTCCGAGAATGCATTGAACTTTTACATAAGCGGGTGAGTGCTGAACAAACAATTTTAGAAGCTAAAATTTGATCTTTCGATTGGCTTAGATGAGATTTAACAAAAAAAAAAAGAAAAGAAAATTAAACAAACAAAAAAACTTTTACATTAAAACGGTCAACTTTCAAAAACGTTTGTTTTTTTATTGTAATTTTTGTGACTAAAATTCTTTTTGTTGCAAAAAAATAATTTCCATCTTGAGTAGATTTTGATTTAATTTCACGTTTATGAATATCCAATAAATTAAATTAGATGGGATTTTAATTTAACTCAATTTTAATTTAACAGAATTTTAATTTAACCGAATTTTAAATGACAGATAGAATTTAAAAAAAAAACATAATTTTCATTTAACCGTAACTGTAGTAAATAGCCGAAAAAAAAGTAATTTCTAATTAGTCAATTTCAAAATTCTCTGGCAGTTGGTTATTCGGTCATTTTCGATTTTGGTCAAATGAAAATTATAAATGTTTAAAGAATCTTTATAGAAAAATTAAAATTTGGCTATAAAAAAATATTCTAATAAAATTCTAATTTAATTTATGGGATAACCATGCTCTCCTTTAAATTCAATTTAATTTTTATTTTTTTTTAGCAAAAAGATTTAATGAACAATTTGTTAAATGCTTTAACGATTTGTTGAAATGAAAAAGTGGAAGATGAAATTTGTTATAATATAGAAAATGAGGCGTTTTACTGTGAAATAATCTCTTTTATCAAAATTGAATTCAATGGAATTCTAATTTCAATGAAACTCATCACCTTTTGTTCGTACGTATTTTCGAGTAAAGGATATTGTTGAACATATACAAATGTAACAATGCGCCCTTATCCGCAGCGCCAACATATGTATATATATAAATATAGTGGTACTTATATGGGTAGAGGTATACTAATTAAATTTTAAACATTTATTTGCATGAAAGGCAATAAATAGTTAAATTTCAACAATCTTCGGCGTCCAGACGCAAAATGAGATTTATATATACATATATGCGTGATATTCATTCGTAAACGATAATTAATTTACACATTTCGTTTTGCAATTTGCTAAATCAATTTTTGTAATATTGTATGCAAAAATCTCTAATCAAAAACATCAAAGGAAGATCAATTTTAACAAAATTTTCATTACATCGACTTTTTTAATTTAATTTTCAAAATAAAAACCGAAAATATTGGTTTAAATATAAGTTTATTTAATTCAAATAAAAATTATTTGCTTCAAGTGTAAATATTTGATAACCGTTCACAAAAAAAAAAAAATTCGAACTTTTTCCAAGGCAAACCAGAATATGATTTTCTAACATATTTTTGTAGGCGGAACACGAATTTAAAGTCCAATTTGCTCCATCATGTAAGGATTTTTTTCTAACCTCAAAAAATATGTTTAATCAAACAGGTAACTTAAAATTCTTCTGGGCTTCGGTTCTAGGGGTTTTTGGAATCGCTGATTACGAATTTGATCTGATTTTCAAAATTCAAAATGTCGGATGCAATATGTTGAGGTTAGAAAAAAATCCAGACGTGATGGAGCAAATCGGACTTAAAATTCGTGTTAAATACGTCAAAAAATCATATTCCGGTTTGCTTTGGAAAAATTTCGATTTTTTTTTCTCCTTCTGTGTTATTTGAATGAAATAAATTTTTTTCAATGTATTATACATTATTATCTTTTACTACTTGTATTTTTCTACATTGAATTCTTCGTCTAAAAATAGATTCTCCTCGTGTCGTGTGGAGAAAATTCAAAAGAATATTTATGAAGTAGATTTTTCTTTCTTAAGAAAGAAAGATTGAATTTAAAGGAGAGATTGTTTTGAGAGGAAAGTTTACGTTCCTAGGTAGTCTTTCCAATCTCTGGCATGATGCCCTCGCTGACCAGTATACTAACCATTGGTATACTAACCACCGTGTGTCGCGGCATCGACCCTGGACCTCGACTCTCTTAATCCTGTCTCTTTCTTTCTCTCTTGCTCTCTCTCTCTCTCTCTCTCTCTCTCTCTCTCTCTCTCTCTCTCTCTCTCTCTCTCTCTCTCTCTTCCTCTCTTCTTCTTCCTTCCTTATTTCTTCCCTCCTCTTTTGTCTTACTCTCAAGAAGTTGCCAGCATAGGACGTCTCTTTTTTCCTCCTTTCTTCTCACTGCATTCCACATGATACGCAACAACATATACCGTAATTCAAACCGTTGCCTCCAAAGACCACAATTTAAAACCTCAGATCTTTTCCCGCGCACGGCAAGCATTTCACTATAATAATTGTTCGGATTTGTCACTTTTCGAAAAAAAGAGCTAACTTCCATTTTTTTTTTTTTTTTTAAATAAGAATATTAATAAGTAGGAGAATAAAAATCCAAACGAAAATTTGGGGCATAATTCCATAAAAATCATTTAATTAGAAATTTCATTTTCAAAAATTTTATTTATAACTGTTCTTTAAACGAATTTTTATTTTTCGAATTATAATTTAACGGAATTTCTAATTAAACGAATTTATCCTCAACACAATTTTTATTTGGCAGAATTTTTATTTTATTGAATTTTTATTTTACAGAAATTCTTTTTATACAACTTTTTATTTTTTTTTTTAAACTTTATTTTATTTAAATAACTTTATTTAAAAGAAATTTAATTTAATAGAATTTTTATTCAATCTACATCTAATTTTATGCGATTCAAATTTTTTAAGAACTGAAATTTCAATTTACCGAATTTTAATTTGTCCGCATTTTTATTTGTCCGAAATTGCAAATAGCCGAACAGAAAATCGACAGAATAATTGCGCCGAAATCTTTCGGTCGATTGTTCGTTCGGCCATTTGTAATTTCGGATAAATGAAAATTCGGCGCCTTAAATATTCTATCAATTAAAATTCGGTGGACTGCAATTTCTGTCATTAAAAAATTTGAATCACATAAAATTCAATTGAATGAGAATTATTTTAAATACGAAAGTGTTTTAAAAAAAAAAAATTCGGAAAAATAAAAATTTTTTCAAATAAAAATTCGGTACCTAAAAATTTTGTAAAGTAATTTGTTTAAAAAAAAGAAGTTGTATCAAATACCAAATAGAAAAATGAAAATTTATTTAAAAAATAATACCTAATAGAATTATTGAAAATGAAAATTCTAACTACCTAAATGATTAAATGAAAATTCAAGCAAATAAAAATTCGATCAAATAAAAATTTAGTTAAATGAAAACTGCGTTTGTTTGTAATAATCGAAAAATTGTACTAATACAAAAAAATGTTTTTAGTTTAAAAAAAAATTTCCCCCAATTATAAATGTACAATAACGTAGTAAAAATAAGGGGAAAAAAATTTGGAAAAAAGCATCACAAAGAATAAGAAAAAAAAAATTGAAAATAAAAAGAAAAGAAACCCAGAGATAAGAATAGAGTAATTAACTCAATTTGAAGGAAACAAATAAAAAAAAAAAAAAAAAAAAAAAAAGCCAAGGCAGAAACAGCAGATGTTGAAAATTCCCAGGAAGTCTTTTTTTTATGAAAGAAAAAAAAAATGAATTGTACTAAATTTTTTTTTAACACTGAATTTGATGAAATATTTCCAAGGCTTCAATAAGATTTTCTCTCTCAACAAATGGAGAAATCACTCTATTGTCGAGATGGGGAAGAAGGCTTTTTTTCAAGAGGGGGGAGGAAAGCATTTTCTCGCAATCATGATTTGTCAGACGAACGGCAATCGTCTTTCCTGTAGCATGAATTCGCGAGTCTCTCCTTCTAGCAAGGCGATAGGGAAAATATATATATATATGTAAGGTTGAGGATAGATAAGGAGAGTTGTCTTTTGTCGAAAGCTTCCCAAGAGACGCCCGAGTTTCACCCGCTTGTCATCCACATCTGTCGGGTTACAAGCACTTTAATATAACTTCAAATGTGAGAAGCTCGAGAGTACATATATATATATATATATATATATATATATATAGAGAGAGAGAGAGAGAGAGAGAGAGAGAGAGAGAGAGAGAGAGAGAGAGAGAGAGAGAGAAAAGAGGGGGATCCCATTCAAGGATTCTTATTCCCTTTCGAAAGCTGAGATTTTAATTGTTTCTCTTCTTCTTTGAATAATTTTCCTTCTGAAATTTTCGCGAAAAAATTATAATACCTTTAACCGGGGCTATTATGTACAAAAATCGCCATGGTTGGGGCTATTATAAACTAGTAAAAAATTTGCTTTTTGTTCATAAAATAAAGTAAAATTTTTTTTCTTCTAAACCAAAATAAAGAAATTAAATATTTAGTAAGTAATTTTTAAAAAATTGAAAAACTACTATTATAGGAATTTCGTTACTAGTACTGCATTTTTTTTTTAGGTTAGGAATGATTTTTTTCTAAAAATTTCAAATTGAAATATTTTATGTTAATTAAATAACTAAAAAAAACTTAAGTGTTTTTTTTTTTAAATATTTTAAATCAAAACAGTTTTTTAAATTAACTTGAATGTAAAATTAATAATGTTACTTTGTAAGGTTATGTTGTACCAGTTGGAAAATTAAAATTATAATTGACTTGTACTGTAATAGCCTCGGTTGACGATAGTAATTTTTTAACTCTATTTTATTTTCAAGTATATATATAATATATTTTTTTTATTTTCTTCTATTTTTGACATTTGTTCGTTTATTTTTCTTCTTCTTCTTTTCAAAATTACTTCCTCAAAATCAGAAAGTATATTTATTTTATCAGGTTTATTGAATTTTTCATCCTGTTTCTTTTTTTGTATTTTACTTCTTTTGTTCTTTATTGCAATTTTTTTTTACTTCGTCAGCATTATTAGGATTTTTTTTCTATTGCTTCTTGAATTTCTTTTGTGGGTCCAAAAGATTTTGATCTTTTTTTACATTTTCACATTTCAGTTTTTGATTCTCTTAAAATCAGCTCAGAAGCAAAATATAAAAAAGAGCAATTTAATTATAATTTTCAAAATTTTTGTTTCCAATTTCTATTTTCTTTAATTCCGTTTTTTTTTTGTGA